TTAAATCCTGACGACCATCAATGTTAGGCAAACATATTTCGTATTGTAGTTAGACGTCAATGTGTGGGCAGGGCTTGACTGGCAGACAAACAACGAATATTGCAGCATCGGCAAATATTATCAATACTCACACTGTGACAATGTCAGATACGCAAACCATATAGAAACAAACAACCGGACAAGTGGTCAAATGAACATTAATGCCACTTACTGATGCGTTATACCGCAAAAAAGCACAAAGGCAGACAAACATCATTCATGCACACACACACACTTGAACACATTTATATTTCTTTCTCCCCATTTACCTCACTCTGTGATATCAAGGGGGAAAATATGAGGACGTTGCCTGCATTCATATGCAGATACTCACAGGACCCATGGACGGCTTTCAATGGTTGGGACGTTGTGTGTGTTTGTTCACTGGAAACAGCTTAAAATAATATTTTGTGCAAACAGGGTTGTGCAAAAACAAAACAAATGGTCAAAAGGACACAAAACTCCCACAAGGACAAAGGTGGAAAAATTCCACACATACATAGCATAAGTATGTTTGTTAGTGGTTCGGAGTATCCGACGTTTAGTTTTGGTCTAAAAAATTAAATTGAAATGAAAGCAAATAATGTCAGTTACAGATGACAGAATGTGGAGTACTTTCTGACCATCCGAACGGTGTCCTGTCCAAATGTGTTACACATTGTTGGGATTGGGAAAGACAAGTTAACAATGCATAATAAATCATTTGTGTTGTCCCGATGAATTTAGAGACACCCAAAGTTGGATAACTAGACAGAGATATGGCTAAATTTTGTAGCCTATGTCGCTAAAGAAAATTCAAATATTTAAATATATTTGAAAATATGATTTAAAGTAGGTTAAACACTTCTGATTATAGTGACATTTTTCTATTTGGAAATAAAATTCTTAGTTGTTACCAGGTCTGCGGAATCGAGCTAGACTCCGAATCCCACCTCATTTACAGTTTAAAGAGCCAATTAAAAAATGTGATAGCCATTACAAATAATTGTTTCTAGTCAGGCTGAATCCCAATTGATTGTTTTCATAAAAACAACAATTTATTAGTGTGGTAGTATGGCGTTGTTCACCTAGGGGTAAGGCAGGGCAGACTATAGTTTCGGATTTCGCCACTGATCCTCATCAGTTCCTTTAGTTCTTTGTTTGGGATATTCTCCCCAGAAGCTATTTATTGCTTCTTTAAAAAAACCCATTCATCCCCAATGTCTCTTGTAACAAAGCGAAGTACCTAACCAACGAAATAACTGCATGAGAATTTCGCTGGTGACTTACTTCGAGGTTAACAAGGCGTTTATAAACAAAACCATACTTTCCCACTGTTGCGTGTCGTCACATCGCGACGAATGCACACAACGACGTTGTTGGTGTTGGTTGATTTACAAATAGCTCCCATATAATTTCGTCCGATTTTATGTAAATGGTGCACCATGTGTCCAAAGTTAGGCCGATTGCTACAAAATTTTGCACAACGTACTGAAAATATTACAGCCCAATGTGGTCAAGTTTGGTTGAAATTGACTCTGATTTAGAATAAGCTCCCATATATAGTTTCGTCCGATTTTTAATAAATGGTGCACCAAAGACCTAAATTTAGTCAGATGGGCACAACATTTTGAACAACGTACTGAAGTTAATGTAGCCTAACGTGTTTCAAGGTTTGTTGAAATAGGTTCACATTTGGATATAGCTTTATTTTCGATATATTTTCGTCGACTTTTAAGTAAATGGTATGACAAATTGACACACAATTGTGTACACCATACTGAAGTTAGTATGGCCTAACGCGTAGCAAATTCCGTTGATATCGGTTCAGAGTAGGATATATATTCCATATATATTTTCGTCTGCTTTAAGGTAAATGGTGCACCAAACTCCTCATGTTTGTCAGATTGACACGAAATTTTTGCACAATGTACAAAATAATGCATAGAATGACGTAATTGCGTTTTGTAGACATAGACATAGCTCATATGTATTTTCGACCGACTTCATGTTAATTGAGCTCAAAATAACCAAGAGGTGTCCGATTGAGATTTGTTTTAATAGATTTACATAATTTTGTTCCATTGTAATCAAGCGACTCTATATCTGTCCAAATGAAAAAAATAGTATAGGTTGCAGAATGATATGGTTAGGGATTGATCGAAGTCGGTTCACCACCGCGAATCAAATTTCAGTTGACCATAATGTACCGTTAAACATTGTTAAACACCATTAAATTGCCTTATATTATATATAGAGTTATATCGGTGCTATATCAAAACGTGGATTATATAAATTATATTCTACATAATAATACTTATACACAACATATGTGTCAATTTTCAATATTTTACATATATTCGTTTCTCTTTGGAGATGACGGTATATATTGTATACCACCTAGCCAAGATTAGGCCAGAATAGCAATCAATCGCCTGAAGAATAATGAAGCAGCAGTTTCCGAACTATTCAAGACCGGTGGTCGGATGCTAGTTAGGATCATGCACCAGCTGATTAGTACAATTTGGCTAGAGGAATGCATGCCCAATGATTGGAACCTCAGCATCCTGTGTCCCGTAAGACAAGACGTGGGAGACAAGACGATATGTGCCAACTAAAGAGGAATAAGTTTCCTTCCCATCGCATAAAGTACTTGCAAAATTTATACGGCTATGCAGGATAACTTTAACTGGCACAAGATCAGCAATTAAAGTCGGAAAGGACCTCTCGAAGCCTTTGATTACGAACGCGGGTTCAGACAAGGTGAATGTTGGCGTGTGACCTTAACAACATCCTTTTAGAAAAGGTCATTCTAGAGGCAAATGTGAATAGAAAAGACTATGTACACCAAACAAAACATGTTACTTGCCTACGCCGATGACATCGGCATAATGGGTCGAAATTTGCGAGCGGTAACAGTCACCTTTGAACAAATTGAGAGTGAGTCTACCAAAGTGGTTCTGGCAGTAAATGGTGAGAAGCTGATGGTATCAATGCGCAAGACGTCCAGTAGAGTCGGACCAACTGTGGAACTTGAAAACTACAGCTTGGAGGTAGTGAACGAATTTGTATACCTCAGTTTTGAAATTCGGAAAAGGGTAGTGTTGGCCAACTTGGTCTAAGTATGCAGTTTAGAAACAAGGCCACCGCCCGCAAGACAAACTCACACTATACAAGACGCTGGTACTACTCGTGCTGGTGTGTGGATTTGAAGCGTGGGTAATCGCGCAAGCAGATGAGGCAGCTCTATATATTCGTTTTTAAGTTATTAATTTCCCCTCGCTAGATTTTAATTTCGCCAACTGTGCGATGTGAGTTTGTCTGATGGTGTCGAATTTTTTCTTAAAGTCGATAAACAGTAGATACAGGGGTCTGCGACATTTTATAGATTGTTCTAGGATGTTGGCTTTACTTCTAGCAATAGGATCTATTATTAAAGGGCATATTAAAGTCCCGATCGATTTTAGATATTCTGAATGACCCCATTATTTTAGAGGATTTTTAATGTTCGAGCCAGTCGAACTAAGGGGTTTTTTACTTGTTTAACAATTCTGATGAAAACTTGCTCAGTTCATTCTGTTGGGGGAATTATATTGAAATTGGTGGAAATCAATTTAGTTCAAATCAGCTCAGTTTTATTAAGGCATATTATACACAAAAATGTAGACTGACGCGTGAGTAATTTGGTTCCGTTCGGGCCAATTAATGATATACATCCCGTATTTAAATTCATTAATATTGAATAAGAGAGAAACATTTGAATAAGACTATATATCCATCACATTATGGCTACTTTTGCTATCATATTATGGACCAAGGGAAAAATCCGTGAAGACTGTAGATTTGTAACACTTCATATATCCACATCATCAAACTAAGGGATACTAATGCGTGTTTGTGGAGAGATCTGAATTGTATGTCAGAGGACTAAGATTTTAAATCAAATTTTTCTTATTACCAACTATTCTGATAAAATTGTACTAAAAGGAGAAAACTGCACTTAAACAGGAATCGGAACTCGTAATTCTACTCAAATTGAACATTTTCAATTATTCATATAAATATAAATTTCCATATGTTAAATCCGCCACACAACAAATGAAATTCATTTACAAAATTTGCCTTTAGCTGTAACTGATTTGCATATTCACACGAAATCCGATGATTGAAAGTGCGGACAAACAAAGAGACCATCATCAATTGTAACTCAAACCCTTAATTTCACCAAATAGTGCAACATTCAATTAGGGAAATTGCCACTTGTGATAATTGGCCATTTTGAGGCATTACGACACCCGTTCCATAATAATTCAATTTGAAAATTCGATTTTCAAATTTACACTTTGCTGACAAAAGCAATCGATGTGTGTGTGTGTATTTGTATTTACATACACAAATACATATACTTTTGTTCGAGTCCCTGTTTTGGCGAAACATGAAGGCCAGCAATTAGTGTGTGTGTGCGTGTTTGCGTTTGTGTTGATGACGATTTTCCATTACTTGAGGCCATTTAAAGTGGCGGAATTTCATCAACGCCAACACTTGTCATTGTTCGCTTGATTGGCATCTTTCATTTGAAAAATTTGCCTATTTCCGCATCCGCTCAAATTTGTCTTAATATTGCAAGAGTTCGTTACTACAGTTGTATTGTGTTTGATATTTGTTGTACTAATTATTTTGGTGTCTGTTCTGTGAAAATGTTGGAAGAAAACCCCATGGTTTCAATGAATATAAAAATTTGGAAATTTTTTGCAATTATATATCCAACGTCGGATAAAATGTGGCGTCTCTACGCGATTCAATTCGCTACGATATTATTGAATTTTATGCAATTTATGTTCCTGTTTGAAATGTGGGGTAATCTTGCCCCATTTATTCTGAACGTGTTCTATGCATCGGCTACATTTGATTGTCTGCTTCGTACTAATGTCATTATTTACCATCGTAAAAAGTTTGAGGCATTTTTGTTGGAGTTTGACGCGATGTATACGGAAATCGAAGTAAGTGAAATGATTTTTTTTCTATTAATATTTTAAAGTTTACTATTTTCGAAAATAGGAAAGTGACGATGACTACGCCAAGGCTAAATTGAAAGAATCAGCAGACTTTTGTAGGAAATTTTCTTTTTTCAATGTATCGGCATCGTTTCTAGATCTTATCGGTACAATGTCACATCCAATTTTAACGGGAACAAGAAGTATGTCTAAATTGTAACCAATGGTTGAGGTTTTATATTCGTCTTGTTATTTCAGCACATCCGTTTGGCGTCGCTTTACCGGGCACTGATTACACGGCATCACCATACTATGAACTGTATTACATACTACAGCTACATACTCCGATAACTCTTAGCGTCCTGTACATGGTTTTTGTTAGTTTCTTTGTGACATTTGCTTCGTTTGGCAAAACATCCCTGAATATTTTACAACATCGTTTGAAGCTAATTTTTGAAAATTACGAAGACGATGCAATACGTCTGGAAGCTTTAAAACAATGTGCCAGATATTATGATCGGGTGGCAAGGTAATGCTTTGTTATTTATATTGTTACGTTCTTGGATTTTACTTAATCACGTGTAGACGTTGTTTTATTTCCCAGTACAGTTCGTACTAAATAAAACGCGGGTTCTTTCTGATTACGAATATTACAACGATTTTCTTGACACAACTTTACTTTACAGCTTTACGTCACTTGACGGTTTAAATTCGCGATCTGATTCACAACTGACTGACTGCCTTTCCATTTCCCCTATTTATATGAGCCTCGCCTGTCGCTACAGAAGTTTCTAGACGATCTGGTAACACCTAGATTTCGAACAATCTACCAATGCAACAAACACATACAAACTTACATTGAGTGAACAATAACAACAACACATATACAGGCGAGGGAGTAACAAAGAAAGAGGAATTAAGCGAGCATCAATGATGACGTTTAACAAGAATTGTACGTCAACAACAAAATAGACAATGAAAGAGGAAATGGAAGGATGTAGAAAAATCTATACAGTAGTTGTTGTTGTGAAGTTATTCGAATAAACTGCGTAGTAGAAATTTACGTTACAATTCAAATTCTTAAATTAACGGAATTCATCTAAATTAACTTAAATCTAAAGTTATATTCGTAACAATATATTAAACGGCATATATGTACACTAGAACTTTTTACCGGGTTAACCTACTTTATGAGGATTTATTTGACATATATGCAATGGAATTCACAATTGAAAACCACTGCGTCAACGAAATCCGGTTTAATATAAACGTACTATTAAATTAGTTATATTTGTTAAATCGAAGTAATTGATCAACTACAAAAGTTAGAGCATTGCACTGTTCGATTTGTAGTATAAAATCCGTTGTTTCAAAATACGGAAGGACGGACATACGTAATATATGTATTATTCCTTATACAAAATACAGGAGTATAAGAACAACACATTCCTTTGAACATTTTATAATGAATAATAAGTTGAACTCAGTCCGGCATTAGCGATTAACGGAGGTTATGTGCGCGACGTAACCGTCGAATAAGTCTGCCGAGCATCAAGCGGTCGAGGACCCCATCCTCTTCACAACAATTGCACTATTACTGAAATCACAATTTTAGCGGCAAAAATACAATTTTTAACTCTATTTCTCGCGTTTACGTCATCGAGAATAACGGAGGTGGATGTGAAAAGTCCGTCAGTATATTTGTAGTAGTTGATGTCATTGGAATGCTGAGAGTTTCAGGTCAGCCATGTAAGGTAAGGACTTGACAACTAAGCCTGAATAGCTTTTTGAGGCGCCCTGGTACCCTAACTGCAAATCGTTATTTAGGGATGGTAATCACGCCTCGGCACTCTGTTATTTCCTCCGAGGCTCTCCCCTAAAACAAGCTGATTGTGCTTGACTGCTTATTTGATTCTCACCCACCCAATGAATTTAATTGTGCTTTCCACTATTTGCACATACATTGCTACAATTCCTTGGGTGTTTGGTATTGCAAAGATGATATGTCGGATCGACTACACATCCGGCTGAATATGTCGATGTCCAAGAATAGATGGTATTGCTCATGGTTCATTCGACGTCTACGAAGATTGACCCATGGATCTTCCGGAGATTTTTCTCTCATATACTCATCCGCATTAGTATGGTCCAATAATGTCATTGACCATTGGCTTCAGTCGTTCACACAGCACGCTGGATAGCATTTTATATGCGATGGGAAGGATCAGCTGGTACATGCTCCTGACCAGTATCCACCGGTCTTTAATAGTTCTGCTGGTAATCCATCGTCACCATCACGCTCACGTTTTTCTTGTTCTCAATCAACCTCATTCCGTTGTCGGATGTTTCTTCATGGATGATGAATTTTCCGACTGTGGGACTAAAAATATATTCACTTCAGATTTTTTCATGAAAATCTCCTAGCAGAATTTTAATATCATCGCCAGGGCATTGGTCATATGCTGTTTCTAGGCGGTCTGCTCATCTTTGTCTTCGGTCGGAGCATTGACACAAATAAGACTTTTATATAGATTATAGCAATTCGCTCATTTACGAGAGCGAGACGAGATCTTTTATTCTCGTTTTAACCATAAATCCGCAGCCAAATTCATGCCTCGTTTCATGACAGCTATAATACAGTGCGTAATCGTCAGATTTACTTGCGCCTGTCCCTTTCCATCGCATTTCTGGTAAGGCAATAATATCGGCTTTGTACCTCTTGAGTATATGCGCCAAAGCGAAAGTTGTGCCTGTCCTGTTCAACGTGCGCACATTCCATGTGCAGATTCGCAGATCGTGGTCCTTTATAAGTTTGGGGGTTTGGTTTTCTTTTTCGCTGCTTTTTCATAGTAGGGGAGACTTGGGCACCTTCGGCACTTTTTGTTTAGAGCTCTATATCTCAGTACTTATTTAACATATATAAAAACTTTATGGCTGATTATTGTCCTCTGACACTTAATTATAAAAACTAGTACCAAAAGGATATAAAACATTAGTATTAGTTACAAATTTGTACAGTTTTGTAAAAAAATCAAATTCGCCGAATGTGCCCCAACCCGGGGTAGCTTCGTAAGTTTATTAGCTAGAAATTTCAAACTTTGTGACAATTATGTATTTCGATATCCGATACTTATGTATAGAAACTAGTGATGTACGGTGAGAGCTTCATATCGAAAACGCGATTGCCGAAGGTGCCCCAGTCTCCCCTATTTGTTTTTTTTTTATAGTTCTTATGGGTGAACTCACGGCACATATCAGCTCACTATTTCAACGGATGGTGAAAGTAGCTACCCCAGGTGACACCGCGGGGAGGTCAGTGTCCACAATTGAGCCTTAGCTTGGTATATATCATCGAGGCAAGGCTATGCTACGATTTAGGAGCATAAAATGTAATGAAGGACTACGAAAACAGCATCACAAAATTAACTCTTCGTCTAGTTATCTATGAGTGCATAAAGGGCTGGGGCTGATTAAATTACACTCCTACATTCGCAATTTTATTTGAACTAACCGCTTACGTGAATTTTACATTTTTTACAGATTCGTCAAAGTGTTCGATGAAATGGTAACATACGTTATTCTTGGTGAGTTTTTGCTATTCGGTGCAATTATATGCTCGCTGCTATTCTGCATAAATATAGTAAGTCCATAGAGAATGTATTCCCGATTACTATAAAAATCGATTACTATAAAGTCTAAGTGTGATATTAACATTTCCAATTATATTACAGATTGATACAATGGCCCAATTCGTTTCTATAATAATGTATGTCGGTACCATGTTATATGTTTTATTTGCCTGTTACTACAGTGCCAATGAAATGCTTGAAGAGGTAAATTGATATACATATTTTAATTTTGAAAATATATTATGACAAACATATATTTCATTCTCTCTTCATTGTATTCATCGACAATAAGAGCATGAAAGTCTCCGAAGCAGCATATTCTATACCGTGGTATGAGGGTACTACACAATTTCGCAAAACTCTTCTATTGTTCATACAAAGAACCCAGAAGCCATTGTGTGTAAGTAGCGAACGAACCCATAGTCACTTTCCTTCATTCACACTAATTTTGTATTCTTTTAAATTATATTTTTCAGCTAACTGTTGGTAATGTCTATCCAATGACGTTGCTTATCTTTCAGTCATTGTTGAATATGTCCTACTCTTACTTTACCATGTTGCGCGGTTTAAATATCCAATAAAGAGTTGCACTTCGGCTGCAAGGCAATGGACAATCAAATGGTTACCTTTGGTAGTAGAAATAACACTTTCACCACTTAATAGAAAAATGCAATTTGCACTTTAGGGCGTTCGCGTTGAAATGCCTCAACACAAACTCAAAGTTATATAGAATTTTCTTTTGTTCGCCTGAAGTTGGCAAAATCAAAGTCAGCTAACTGCTGTGTAGGAATTATAGAGAGTATCATACTTTCGTCGTAATGTTAAGTAAATTTTTATGAATGGTGCCAATAAACATTTAATATAATGGCAATCAAATGAGGTTTCATTTGGAAAGCTGTAAGGTAAGCATCCAATTTTTGTTTTTTTGTTTTTAACATAGCAGCAACATTGTAATTTTAGTCGCTAACGAAGTTAAACTTTCATTATGATGACCACTTAAGCTGACTCAGACCAATGGCTCTTGGTTAAAGTCATGGAATTAAAAATGCATTACCAACGTAAAAATTTAATGGGGCTGTTGTCTTAAGTGACCTTTATATATGTATGATGTTGGGACTCAACGTTTGTTAAACGTCTGAATGAAAAGCGATTTGAGCATTTGTGTAAAAGGTAGCACCGAATTTTATTGGCTTTTGTAAATTTTCACTTATATCTGAGGCATCATTAAAAATACATAAAAAACCAATGGTTGAAGTCAGTGACTGTGTTGCCCATGCTCTAGCTCTATATAAAAAAAGGAATAGGGGGATTTAGCTGAGACTGTACAGATTGTAATATTTGAAGGACTTAGAAGGTCAACTAGTTAGCTAAGATTAGTGACAGTTTCTTGATCACCAATTGAAATTAAATTTGATATTAAGACCAAGCTTAAGGGTTCAAAGGGTTCATGTGGTGCATATGCCTTGTTATGTTACAAGTAGATTTAAAGAAAATAAATTCATGATTTATACATTGAACATACATTATGTTATGAAGACTTAATAGGGGCCCATTCTCGGCGTTAACAATTTGTCGGATTTAATTCAAATCTACTTTAATTCTAGAATGTCCCTACAAAATTTCAAGTGAAAATCTTAACAACTCTTGAAGATATAGCCGATTTATTGTGTCAGCATCAAGTGACAGCAAGAGTGATTCTCAAACTTTAAACGCATTGTTTTACGAATGGCGGGCACTATAACTCAAAAACTAATAATCCAATCGGTTCCAAATATTGACACGTTTCTCTGAGAGTGTATAGCTCTCGTATAAACTAGAATAAAGCCAATCGGTGAACTTCCTTATTTTTTAACATAGGTTGTGGTCAAAATAGGTGCATTGCCAAAAATCAAAGGTTCGCCATCTTGTTAATATTGGAGCTAAGTCAATAATCCGAGAGCCACACACGAACTCTTTCCCTTATGTATTTTTCATTATGTTTTAATTAATGAAAAATATATTTGCACGCCCCACCTTAAAGGTGGAGTATATTCAAATTTGTCATTTCGTTTGAAGCACTTCGAAATATATATTCTTAACATAATAAAATTCTATGTCGATTTCAATATATCTGTCTTTTTCTTAATATCATGATATAGTTCGCATGCAGATTCGGTATATTAAAGCTTTTAGCCGCATTTTCAACCGATGTGGCATTTCTTGGATGAGATCTTGACTCTGGATAGAAGAAGGATGGGAAATCTGTTGAAATATATTCGGTACCTTAACTGCAAACCGTAAAATACTAATTGGAACACCTAACCTAAGCCCTTGGAATTTATTATGGAAAGAATAAGGGTGGGACCTCAGCCACGTGTAACGATATATTCCAAGAGGTGCTTTATTTATTATAAGTCAGACATAAATTGAGTACGCATGGTATCTTTATGCTAACATGGACACGATGGCCCCATACAGCGGAGGTGAATCATAAATGTCAATCTCAATCATGTCCAACTATGTAAGGATCTGTCAGAAAGCTGCCCTGAGAACTGCAGCATGGTGTCTTCTCATGACTCCAGTCGACCATCTTCATGAGGAGACGATGGTCCCCATACAGCGGAGGTGAGTCATAAATGTCAATTTCAATCATGTCCAGCCACGCAAGGATCTGTCAGAAAGCTGCCCTGAAAACTGCAACATGGTGTCTTCTCATGACTCCAGTCGACCATCTTCATGAGGAGACGAAGATCGTCCATCGACACAATTATATGTTGTCGATATAGTGCTTGCTTGGATGTTATCGTTGGGAGCACCCCTGTCATAATCTTATGGACAAAACTCCCCAATATAGGCACGTCAGGAAAGATCTTGATGATCTAGAGAGAGGTCCAAAGAAGCGTGAATCTCTAGATCTATCCTGATTAACTAAGATAGGGCAACCGCCTCAATTCCTATTGGGCAAGAATTGACGGCTCGATACCTAGCACATATCATGCTTGTGGACTAGGACCACACGACACTTTGTATCTCAGCAACTGCCTAGCTAAGCCAACTTACTTATCGCCGAATTCCCTGTGGATACAATTCATTCAAGTTGCAACATTTTTAATTTTGGAGATAGAGGAACTAGAACCAGACAAAATGCTTGCCACCAAGTCTGAACTAGCACGTGGAGTTCCGAAATAGGAATGATAGAGATTTTAGTCTGTAATTTGTTGATAGTCCGCGACATGGAGATCTATATTAGCTATAGTAGATAGCTTATAGTTGTATTTTAATATAAAATTTGCTGTTTACATACTCAATACGAAACTTGAATTTTGTTCTTGGAACACCCCTTTAATTAACTTCATCAATAGTTATTATTCTACATTCCACTGTGGTGGAAAAAGTGAAGGTGTCATCGATAGGTGTGGCAAACCATGATCCCGTTTAACCATCCCATCAGGTTTTAAATAATTGCTAAGATACTCGTGTGTAGGCTTTGCTACAACACCATTTTAATGATCATTTAATTTGCGAAGTCGCAACATTGTTGCACGATACCACAAAGTAGCCAATTATAAAAATCCAACCGGTGGAAAATCGTGGAGAGCCCAACACCGCGGCAGAGTTATAACATCTGTTGATGCAACAGTGATGATGCGTGTCTTTTGTTGTGAGCGACGTTAATCACTTAAGCTTTATGATAGAGGCCAAGGATACGATACGCATGTGCCTTAAGCTTGAATCTTAAATATTAACTATGTTAATAGCGATACCGATAATTAATGGTAGGCAAAAATGTCGTAAAGAAATAAAAGTACAGCATGAGTAGTTTTTAATATGTTCAATATTCAAACATTGTTGTGTGAGTGTGTATTTATGTATTAAAGAAATCGAATGCATGAAAGTGTATAGCAGAAAGACAGATAGTAATAGCAAGGTATCATATATCAGAATTTCTAGTTCATATCGGCAGAATTTCAAACTTTTTCTTGTTTTATTTTTATGTTATTATCGATAGCTATACTCAAAGTCATACTATATGGCATTGAATAGACTACTGCAAATAATACCCCAAGAGGGTCTACTTCAAATAACAAACAAATCCACATTCCACATATTTGTGTGTATATACTTTGATTTATATACATACATATTTAATGCAGAATATCGACCTTCAATGTCAATAACATCATCATTAAAAATATTGAAGAGAAGTTAGTTGGCAATGCTCTTGTTGTACAATTTCCTGGTTAGAGGAAGGCGAGGGAGGTATCCGTCTACAGATACGAGTATAATTGTGAAAATATGGAATTTGAAGTATTTGTGTACACAATATACTTTATTTTTCGAACATAACGTGAATGTCATATATATATATATATATATAAATATAAGCATATGATGTCAGTAAGAAAATGTGTATGTTTGTATACATATTATGATATATTAAAATCTATTTATTAGAGATGTAAATGTTAGATTTCGAAATGCTTCGATTAAACATAACTAAAATATTTAAATTAAATTTTGTAGGCATCTAAGAAATGTGTGGAAGATCCGCTACACAGACCCAAGTCGAAAATGAAACACACAAAACATTTAAATAAATAAAAAGGTATTTTTGGTAAATTTGATATCATGAACTTGTTAAAGCATCAATCGGTGTTGCCGATAGATGCATATATACCCTCAAGCTATATCCCGATCAAAAATAATATTAATTTAATTTTGTTGTAGTCCAGATTCTTACATAAATTTCTTTTACATTCAAAACTCCTTTCATTACGATTAGAAATACTTATCGTTATATAAAATGTATTTCTACAAAATTTCAGAATTCTATTTTTTAGTACCTACCAGTTTTGACCTATATGCCAAATTAAAATTTTTAGACAATGTCATCCCTATTTGACAATATCTCTCTTTCTATTTATATTTGTACAAAAAGAGGGGAAAGCAGTGGAGTATCCATATAGAAATATATATGCTTCTGTGAATAATTTGATATCCTTGTTTACAATTTTGTCGCAAATATGTTTGTTAAATATTTTTTCAATACAGTTGGGATATGATAGGAACAGGGCAAATTCGTATGTGAATGAATATAGACATAGTCAATAAGTATTTATTAATATTATGAAATGCATGGATGTATACATATTTATGTGTGAGGGCATTTATTTAAATAGAAAAGTATTTTTTATATTCTTAAATACATGCTAAATGTCATTGCTACTATATGACAAGGGCAGACATAGACACATTAATATGAACACACATTCATTAAATGTTTAAAATTTTGTAAATTTGTGTGAGATGCTAATTCATAACAGAGCCCAAAACGCAATCCGATATTGGATTTATTGATCTGTCGTTGCAAACTTCTTCGGTGTCTACGTTGTAAAGTCGGACAGGGTCGACTATATGATACCCTTCACCACTTTGGGTATATTCTAGCAGACGTCGCATTTTTTAAAGAACGTTAACATAAAATTGGATTAACTAAAATGTGTGATATTTATCTAAATGTGAACCGACTTAAATCAATCCATATTAAGCCCAACCCGGATTTATAGCTTGTCTTTTCTATTTGGTTATTTGTGACCATAAATTAACATATAAATTTTATTATATTAATTTCGT